GCCCTCAGGACTCGCCCGCCTCCAACAACGGCCTTGGGAAGCGTTTCTCTGTGCGGAAGAACTTTCTCTCTTCCTGTGACCTGTCAGGAAGTGTGTGTGGCTTTGTCACCGCTCCCCAGAGCGACTGTCAGCCGGGATGTCACTGAGGGCTTGGGCCTTAGCCCCCCCCCTTCTCCTTCCCTCCCTCCCTCCCTCCTTCCCTCCCTCCCTCCTTCCTTCCTTCCTTCTACTTTCTGTTTCTTGCTTCTTTCCTTCTCTTCTTCCCCTTCTCCTCCTCCTCTTTCTCCATTTCTTCCTCCTCCTCCTCCTCCTCCTCCTCCTGTCAGAAACCACTAGAAGTGGGTCCGGCACTGCAGGCAGATGGTGTCAGCAGAAGGGGTCCCCAGGAAGCCCTGGCCGGTGTGGCGGGTGACAGGGGGCGTGTGGGATGGACGGGCGAGGGCAGCTTCCTGGCAGCCCCTCTGAGGCTCTGAGCCGTGAAGCACAGCCGCGCGTGGAGGAGGAACCAAAAAAGTGTAAAAACAAAGAAAAAGAGGAACTGCAGCGTGAGTCCCCGGCGGGTCTCGGGCAGAGGAAGCAAAGCAGGGGCGCGGGGAGGGGTGTCACCGGCCCGCGTACGCCAAGACGCAGCCAGACCCGCCAGGCCCGGCCCTGCTGCGCACGCCAACACACCCAGCACCAGCACCAGCAGCACCAGCAGGCCGTCCACGCTTATCATCAGCCTGGGAAGAAAAGCAGCTGCTCCAGCCGCACGGGCGTGATCGATCAGTGCGTGTGCACCAGTGCTCTCCTGCCATCGCCCTGAGTGTGAGCGTGTGCGTGTGCGCATGGAAAAGAGACAGGCCTGTTCTGCAGAACGCGACACCTTTCCTGCCTGAATTAGAGGAAGCGATTTCACACACACACACACAGGCCACCAAAACAGGCGGATGGCATTCTGATGGATCACTGCACAGCCAGAAAACTCGCAAGGTGAGGGACGAAGATCAGGCCGGTGAGTGTGGCTGAGCAGCCAGCCAGGGGCTTCCAGCCATTTTCACTTTTCTTTTCCTTTCTCAGCCTTTCGTGATCCCCACTATTCTGGCTAGGAGCGAGGTTTGGGAAGTGGAGCTGAGGGTTTAGAAGGTAGCGTAGGAGCTCGCGGTGCCGTTCGTCTCCCTCATAGGCCGCGTCGGGTGAGCTGCGTTTCTCATGGCTGGTTTCGTGTGCAGAGTCAAACAACCCCTCAACCTGCGGGAAGTGATCGCCCAGAGACTCACGTCCATCCCGAGGGGTTTGAACTCGGAAGTGGTGGGGGCCGTTCTGCGGGTGACTTTGTTGTTGTTGTTCTTCTTCTTCTTCTTCTCACCAGTTCTTTAACTGGTAAGGAAAGACCTAAAGCAGGAGACGGAGGGAAATGGGGGTGAATTCTGTGTGGACCCCCATTTCACCTGGGTGGAAAGTCTTCCAAAATGTCCCCCCTGCCTGCTGTGGTGTTTAAATGGGAACCTTTGACCTGGAGGAGTAAGAATCCCTGGGTACCATTTAAAGATACTTTGGACATTGGGGGATTTGTCCTTCTTCGGTCACCTAAAAGTGACAGAAATGGCCGGACGCCGGTGGCTCGCGCCCAGCATCCTGGCTACTTTGGAGACTGAGGTCTGGGGATTGCGGTTCAAAGCCAGCCCGGTGGCAAATCTCCAATTAACCAAAAGCAGGAAGTACAGCTGCGTCTCAGGTCGTGGAGGGCTAGCCTGGAGGGAAGGAAAAAAGAAAAGTAGCCCAGGGACAGCGCCCAGGCCCTGAGTTCAAGGCCCAGAGCCGGCAGGAAAACCACGTGCTCAGAAGCCATGGTCAGATTACAGATGCCAGAGTGTTTCTAAGCCTGCTTTGTTCTAGAAACAAACCTAGCGTCTGTTTATTCAGCCATTTATCAGACGACTTCTTCTGTTCTGGCTTTGCCAGCCTACATGGTCTTTTTTTAAACCGGAAGTTGTTTTGAGAAATGAACGACCGAACCCAGCTCCTGGTGGCGTTGGAATGACACGTCTCAGGCCCCCGCTGTGTTTGTGGTTGGTTGGACTCTCCTGCTGTTTCCTGAGCAAGCAGAACCCATATTGCTGAAGAAATTGCATGGCTTTAAAGCAGCAATTTTGGGGCTGTGGGCAGGTGGCTCAGGGGTAGAGCGCTCGCCTAGTGTGCATGAAGCCCTGGGTTCGAGTCCTCAGGACCACAGACACAGAAAAGGCCGGAAGCGGTGCTGTGGCTCAAGTGGGAAAGTGCTAGCCTTGAGCAAAAGCAGCTCAGGGACTGGCAAGATAAATAAATAATAGCAATGGTTATTAAAACCTTATTATTACTTCTCAGTCGTATGAACTTGCCAGTGTTGAGTAATTCTTGTACAGTCACTGCGGCAGGCTGGGATTAAGGTATGGCTGGTTTCACCCCAGTGCTGACAGGACTAATCTTTGGTTTGTATTTATCTTTGGATTAAATCAATATTGAGCCCCCTGGATGGTGGTTGCTGCTGTTGTGTTGCTTTTCTTGGGTGGTGGGGTTTGAACTCAGGGCCTCATGCTCTTGCTAGGTCTTTTCATTCCAGGTAGGTGTTCTACCGCTTGAACCACACGCAGTTCTACTTAGGTTTTGACCCATCCATTGGAGATCAGAGTCTCTTGGATTTGTCTGCCCGGGCTGGGTTTGAACTGTGATCCTTAGCTCTCAGCCTCGGGCACATAGCTAGGATTCAGGTGTGAGCCACAGGTGCCGGATTTATATCCCAAACTATTCCAATGTGTCTGTCTCTCCGTGGATTTCCTTGTAGTGCCTTCCTGGGAGAATCAAGTTTTGTACAAAATGAGCACTCTGGGTCATGTAAACCTGTGCTTATTTTTCTCCTCCCAATTTGTCCCCAGGGAATAGTTGGTTCAAATATCCAAAATTGGCCTGTAAAAAAAAAATATCACCCTGCCCAGTGCTGGTGGCTCACGCCTGCCATCCCAGCCACTCTGAGGCTGAGATCTGAGGATCGCAGTTCAAAGCCAGCCTGGGCAGGAAAGTCCATGAGACTCTGATCTCCCATGAACCACCAAAAATGCCAGACATGGAGCTGTGGTTCAAGTGGTAGAGCACCAACCTGGAGTGAGAAAGCCAAGCAAGAGCATGAGGCCCTGAGTTCAAGCCCCAGGCCCAGCACACACATAAACGCTACCTTGGTGCGATGCATGTGGTTTGCTGTGCTTTTCCAGCAGGGAGGAAGGAAGGGGAATTCTTGGTTTCTGACAAGTTGTTCACAGATGTTTCGGATCTATGAAATTCATCTTTCGAGTCTCTCCTGTCGGTGTCAGGATTTTGCTCGTCAGCCATAACTCTGCCCTTAAAACTCAACCTTTGAAGGAAGAAGAAAATTTGGTTCCTATTTTCAAAATGTTCTGTATAATGTGGGCGCCGGTGGCTCCCACCGGTAATCCCAGCTACCCAGGAGGCTGAGATCTGAGGATCGTGGTTCAAAGCCAACCCCAGGCAGGAAAGTGCGTGAGACTCTTCTCTCCAATGAACCAGCAAAAAAGAGTAAGCTATGGAGCTGCGGTTTAATGGTAGAGCACCAACTTTGAGCACAAAAGCTAAAGGATAGTATCCTGGCTTTGGGTTCAATCCCCAGTATTGGCACACATGAACACACACACACACACACAGAGAAAACACACACAAATATGTTGTTTTTGGTTTTGTTTTTGGTGGTCCAGGGGCTTGAACTCAGGGCCTGGGCGCTGTCCCTGAGCTCTTTTTGCTCAAGGCTGGTGCTCTACCACTTGAGCCACAGCGCCACTTCCGGTTTTCTGGTGGTTCATGGGAGATCAGAGTCTCATGGACTTTCCCTGCCCAAGCTGGCTTTGAACCAGGATCCTCAGATCTCAGCCTCCTGGGTAGCTGGGATGACAGGTGGGAGCCACCGGCACCCGGCTTACATGGGATGTTTTGAGAGAAAAAGTCTACTTAGCCCACGCTCCACCCTGCCCACGCCCCCCCGTGCTACTTGCATTCTGAGTCAGACATTTGAATTCTGAGTCAGAGAGAAAAACAAATAGTTCAATCTGCCCTTCTGAGGGTCTCTGGCTTTCGAATCAATGAATGTGTTGGGACCATTGCTTTGGGACGCGTCTACTGAGATGCATCAGTAGCGAAGTTGATGGCTCACGCCTGTCACCCCAGCTATTCAGGAAGTTGATCTCTGAAGATGGAGGTTCAAAGCCAGCCCCAGCAGGAAACTCTGTGAGACTCTTTATCTCCAATAAACCACTCAGAAAGCCAGAAGTGGCGCTGTGGCTCAAGCAGTAGAGCGCCAGCCTTGAGCTGAAAAGCTGAGGGACAGCGCCCAGGCCCTGAGTTCAAGCCCCATGACCGACAAGAAAACAAAACCACATATTTGTTTGTTTATGTGCTTGGGGGGTGTCTGCGATAGGGTCTTGCTATGTAGTTTATATTCTACAATCTCCGAAATTACTCCAATCTCTGAAATTACAGGCATGTGCAACCACACTCACCTGCAAGTGCCCAGTTCCTGAGTGGTGACCCTGCCTATTTTCGCTCACGTAATAGATGTTGGCTGCTAGTAGAGGGAAACCAGTTCTAGGCCTTGAACTCAGGACCTAGGCACTGTCCCTGAGCTTCTTTTGCTTAAGGCTAATGCTCTACCACTTGAGCCACGGCACCACTTCCGGCTTTTTCTGAGTATGTGGTACTGAGGACTCGAACCCAGGGCTTCATGCATGCTAGGCGAGCACTGTACCACTGAGCCACCCGCCCAGCTCCGGAGGTTTGCGTTGATAAAGAAGTTTAACGTGTTGCTCAGGACTAGGGTGTGCTCAGGATCTGTTGTTTGGGGGCATCTTATCTCAGAACACATCCATTCGTCCATCTGATCCACTCCTCACCGTCTTTCCCTGTCTGACACGCCACAATCTCACTTGAGTCACCCAGAGATAGATAATCATGCCTGGAGGCTGGGAAGAAAGAACAGCCCTGAGACTCTGCAGAAGGTTCCAGGCCTCGGTCTCCTGCCTCTGATCCCTGCTGCTTAGAGGCTGAGATGGGAAACAATGAGGTTCAGAGCCAGCCTGGATTAAAAAAGAAAAACAATGAAAGACCCCATCTCACCCAATGAACCAGGTGCCGTTCCTCACCGCTGTAATCACGGAAGTATAAATAGGAGGATCACACTCCAAACACACACAAATCATGATGTCTGGACTTTTATTATAGATTTATGCCTCTTTTCTTTGAGATTTATTCATCTTTAGAGACATGTGTGTGAAGTTTCTCTTGATGAATGATGAATGAACCCTGACTCTTTTTTAAATTATCTTTGAGCACAAAGGGGTTTCAGTTCAACCTGGCAAGATAGAAGTGGAATGTGTTCGGATCCATGTCACCGTTTTGGGCATTCTTTCCCATCATTTTCTTTGTTTGGCCTGTCAAAGCTTTTTTAATGCAATGATAAATCAACTATGACATTAATAATACCAAATAACATCAAATTCTCCCACTTTCAGTATCGATAACAAGTATCAATATTTAGGTTGAAGAAATAATTTTTTTTTTTTTGGTCTCTGCTCATCCTGGGGCTGGAACTCAGGGCCTGGGCGCTGTCCCTGAACTTTAGTGGACAAGGCTGGCGCTCGACCACTTGAGCAATGATTCCACTTCCGGCTTTTCGGTGGTTCATTGGAGAGAAGCGTCTCACGGACTTTCCTGCCCAGATTGAATTTGAACCCTGATCCTCAGACCTCAGCCTCCTGAGCAGATAGACTGACAGTCATTGGCCACTAGTGCCGGACTGAAGGAAGAAGTTGTTTGGGAAAGAGATCGGCTTTTCCTCCTGGCAATCGTTGGCTGAAGTTGTAAACTGGCGCTGTTACCCGTGAGACCCGATCTCAGAAATACACGTCAGCCAGGATCGAAAACTAGCGTTATGTTCTAACCGTGTGATGGTTTTATTTACTTATTACTTATTATTTATTTTGACTAGTCCTGGGGCTTGAACTCAGGGCCGCGGTGCTATTCCTGAGCTCCCCCCACCCTGCCTCTCAGTGCTCTACCATGTGAACCAGAGCTCCATTTCTGGATTTTTGACTGGTTAATTGGAGATTGGAGTCTCATGAATTGTCCTGCCCGGGCTGGCTTCAAACTGTGATCCTCAGATCTCGGCCTCCTGAGTAGCTGGGATGACAGGCGGGAGCCACCAGCGACCTGGCCTTGTTGTATTTTTCTTACAGCCAATTCCAAAGGCCTTGGCCTGAGGGTCTCGTTGGCCGGATAGCGGCTTCCTGAGTGACACAGCGTCTCCACAGCTGAAGCCCGGGGGGCAGAGGCTGGTGCTTCATTGCTTTCCCTGGGAAGGAAACAAGAAATCCTTCCCCACACAGACATATGCAAACCCGGTCCGGAGCCGGCTGGTTTGGCTGCTGGAAAGATAGGGAAATAGAGTTCCGGCGTGCACTGAACACCTGTGGGATTAAGGCTTCCATTTGAACGCCTCCCCTGGCGTGTCACCAACCCAGGTGGGAAAGCGCACGTGGCCAAGCTACATCGTTTACTTCTGAGCCCAGGGCCCAGCGGGGCACGCCTGTCACCCCAGCTGCTCAGGAGGCTGAGATCTGAGGATCAGGATTTGAAGCCAGCCCGGGCAGGAAAGGCCAGGAGACTCTGATCTGCAGTGAACCACCAAAACAACCCAGAAGTAGAGCCGTGGCTCCAAGAGAGGTAGCCTGGAGCGAAGAAACTCAGGGACAGTGCCCAGGCCCAGAGTTCAAGGCCCACGACCAACACACACACACACACACACACACACACACTCCACAAAGAGAAGGTATTCTGGTTTTATCACTTGGAGATACGAACCCTTCCAGAACATGATGTCTACTTCTGAGCATTGCATGTAGGCCAGGGCCCTGTTGCTTAGCCTAGTTAACACAGATTTATTTCCCCCTGCAATCTACAAACTCGACTGTGCGTGGTGATTCAGGCCCGTCCTCTCAGTTAGGAGGGAGGCAGAAATCAGGAGGCTCCCTGTTAGAGGCTAGTGAGACAAAAGTGCACGAGATGAGCATCTCAACCAATGTGAATCCGGGGGCCACGCCAGCTACGCACAGCGTGTACACAGGAGGATCACAGCCACTAAACACAAGACCCTAATCAAAAGAGAATCAACAAGGGTGGAGAGATGGATCGGTGGAAAGAGTGTCTGCCTATCAATCACGAAGCCCCGAGTTCAAAACTCGGTACTGCTATAATGTGTGCGTGTGTGTGTGTACATATACATATGCATACACACATCTGTATATATATACAGAGACACACATCTATACTATGCTAAAGACTACTGAAAAAAGTCGCTTCAGTAGCTTCAAAATATTCTTTAATATGTTTTCCACCCGGGCGCCAGTGGCTCCCGCCTGTCATCCCAGCTGCTCAGGAGGCTGAGATCTGAGGATCGCAGTTCAAAGCCAGCCCGGGCAGGACAGATCATGAGAGGCTGAGCTCCAATTCGCCACCAAAAAAGCCAGAAGTGGAGCTGTGGCTCCTAGGATAGGGCCTAGCTTTGAGCGGGAAAGAGGAACAGGGCCCTGAGTTCAAGCCCCGGTAACAGCACAAAATCAATCAATCAATCAATATGTTAAACTTAGTTGAAAAATTAATTAGTTTTTAAAATCCTTATAAAATAAAATTGTTCTGTGGGTAATATTGTATGTAATGGAAGCCTTTAAAAATCTCTTGTTTTCTTCCTGGAAAGCTTAAAAGGTAGATGACCTATTTCTTGCCATCTAGATTAGTGACAGTGTTTTTGTGCATCTGTGCTGGCCCTGGGGCTTGGGCGCTGTCCCTCAGCTCTTCAGCTCAAGGCTGTGTCTGTGGTGCTGAGGGATCGAACCCAGGGCCTCACGCATGCGAGGCGAGCACGCTACCACTGAGCCACCTGCCCAGCCCCTCTAAGCAACTTCTTAAGTGGCATCTTCTTGCTTGCAGAGCCCAGCCCGGCTTGGCTTTGTGTGAAAGTCCAGAAGATGGAGAAATGAAGGGCGGAGCGTGGCTGTGACGTGATTATCTCAGTGAGTGGACAGAAGCTACCAGCCTCACATTTGCAGCTGCATGTGTATCGCCTGAGACCCTAACATCTTTACTGGGGAACACCCCAACGCACGCACGTGTGTGTGTGTGTGTGTGTGTGTGTGTGCTGGTCCTGAGACTCGAACTCAGGGCCTGGGCGCTGTCCCTGAGCTTCTCTGTGCTCAAGGCTGGCGCTCTACCCCTTGAGCCACAGCGCCCCATCCTGATTTTTTTGAGAAGTTTATTGGTGCTCAGAGTCTCAGACTTTCCAGCCGGGGCTGGCTCTGAACCCCGATCCTCAGATCTCAGGCCAACCAGGATGACAGGTGTGTGCACCAGTGCGTGGTTACAGCCTGTCCTGGATGGAACCTCAAAGCCCAGGCCCCGAGTGTGTCTTCAGCTCGAGACAGGCCCTGAGGTCTCTGGGCTGACCGTCCTAGGGAGTGGTTTGGGAAAGTTCCGCAGTCACTTGCCGAGGGTGACTTGTAATGGTCTGTGGGTGTCATTTTGACCAGCTGACTTGTATCTGCATACTTGTCTTATCGTGTCTTGCTTAGACCAGTGGCTTCATTTCAAATCCCCTAGGCTGTGGGGACCAGTGGGGGCCAAGAAGGCCAGGTTTGGTAGATGCTAACACGGCCAGTTCGTCTCCTCATAGTGAGCAAGTGCTCTGTGCTATCAGGTCCAGGAACCAAGCAAGCCCGACCCCGTCCCCGGATCGGATTGTCCAGTTGCAGTCAGGATGAACCAGGACCGAAGAATGGACGTGAGTATCCGCACTGGCTGTTTCTATTGGACAGGTCCCTGATCCTCTTCCATGAATGACATTGAAACAGAAATACACACATACATACATATATATAATAATATATGTATGTGTGTTATCATTATATTATCATGGACACATACATATGTGTATGCTTATATTATCTATAGCATTTTAAATGATATGTACATCTATATGTGCACAGAATACACATATATGACTATAAATAATATATGTGTATGTGTGCATTACCTGTGCACATGTATACACACATTTGTGTATGTATCTATGTATGTATGTATATACATGTGTGTATACCTGCTTATTTATACATGTGGGTATATGTGTATGTGGATATTATATGTAACTATATATTATATGTTATTGATACTTATAATATACTGATACTTGGTCTCACAAGTATCGCTGTGATTTTCATGAGGAAAATTCACCTTTTCGTTTATTTTTATTTTTTTCCTGGTCCTGGGGCTTGAACTCAGGGCCCAGATGCTGTCCCTGAGCTTTTTCTGCTCAAGGCTGGCGCTCTAGCACTTGAACTACAGCTCCACGTTCGGCTTTTTGGTGGGTGATGGGAGATCAGAGTCTCACAGACGTTCCTGCCCGGGCTGGCTTTGAACCGTGATCCTCTGATCTCAGCCTCCCGAGTCGCCGGGATGACGGGCGGGAGCCGCTGGTGCTCAGCTGATTTTTATATTGTGTTTTTGAATAGATGGGGATGATCATGCGTTTCACTATTACCTGCTGTGAAATCGTTCTGCGCCTTCATTTTAAGGGAGGTTCATCTGATATTTTGCCCGTGATGTCTTTCGGCCTAGTTGAGAAAGGAAGAAAAAAAGGAAATGAGCCCGTCCTGCTATTACTTAGCAGTTCCTTTGCAGTTTTAATAAAGGAAGTTGACTTAGGAGCCAACAGGATGTTTGGTTATTAGTAATTTCCCTTTTATCTTTCACTGAGGAGGAAGACTCGGGCATCGGTTAAGTGCAGGCACTTGGAACAGAACGATTCCAGGCTAATTCTCTCAAGCAGCTCATACCATAGGTTTGCCCGGCTTTTTTTTGTTGTTGTTAGCTTTGTTTGTTTATTTGTTTTTGCCAGTCCTGGGACTTGAACTCAGGGCCTGGTCGCTGTCCCTGAACTGCTTTGGCTCAAGGCTGGCGCTCTACCACTTGAGCCACAGCGCCACTTCCAGCTCTTTCTGTGTAGGTGGTACTGAGGAATCGAACCCAGGGCCTCACGCATGCTAGGCCGAGCACTCTACCACTGAGCCACCTTACTTGAAATTGTTAAGACTTGACCTACTTGACTCAAATCTCTCCACCAAGCAGTGTCGAACCTGATTTCACGTTCAAGTGCGTTGAGCTTCAAGTCTGTTGAGATACGGATGCCCTTTCTACAGCCCCTCTTCAGACCCCGTGTAGACATTTTCCTCATAAAGATTACTCACAGTTGCCTTGCAGGTCATTTTCTCTGGCTGAGGTGTGCCCTGCTCTCGCTGGAAGGCAGACACGTTGTTTGGTCTGTGCTCATGACAACCATGCAGAAATAGGAGTTACCAGCCAGCTGGCTGGGCATGGTGACTCACACCTGTAATCCCAGCTGCCATGAATGCTGAGCACACAGGACCCAGGTTCAAAGCCAGTCAGGGGAGGGAGAGTCTGTGAGACTCGTATCTCTCATAAATAAGCCAGAAGTGGGGCTGTGGTTCGAGAGGTAGAGCGCTAGCCTTGAGCAAAAGAAGCTCAGGGTCAGTGCCCAGGCCCTGAGTTCAAGTCCCAGGACCAGCACACACACACACACACACACACACACACAATAAATACATAGGAAACAGAATAATAGAAAGTCCTGTCAGATACTCCTGGAAAACCATGTTGATTTCTGGAAGAAATGAAGGTTTCATTTCTGTAGACTCAGAAATTCGTGCTCAGGGTACATTTTGTGGCTATCATCATTACCTCTCCGTGTTTTCATCCTTACCTAAGCAAATGGTCCAACAGTATATTTTTTCTTCCTTCCTTCCTTCCTTCCTTCCTTCCTTCCTTCCTTCCTTCCTTCCTTCCTTCCTTCCTTTCTTCCTTCCTTCCTTCCT